AAATAATCATGATGGCCAACTACATTAACACGCTCTAATTTAACCTCTTTCTACATTGGTTTTATTAATGTACTGAAATTAGTGCTTATCCATAGATTTAATTGAAGAAAACTGACTTTAACAGTACAGTTTTGGTTGACAGAACTGTGTGTCCTAAGGCTAAATGTGTCTCTAATTATGAGACAATTTAATTAATAGTATAATATAATTAATTATTAAACACAAAAGGTTAATGGAAGAATAATAATTGTTTATACTAATTGCAAATAACTCAGTTGCTTCTCCTTTATTTAAATTCTTAATTAGATCTAAAAAAGATTTGATCAGATAATTGGTCTACCATCTTTTTGCAAGTAAGTTTACAGAAACATTGTATCGACAGTACAAGTACATCTTATCTATGTAGTACAACGTATAATCTTACCTCTTAATTTCCAACAACTTCATCATGTTGTCTATATTTCAAACAATAAAGGGGAAAAGAACAAGCTTAAATACAAAAACAAAAACAAAATTTGGATAATTAATTAGGTTCGGCTTGATTCCACTTATCTTAATTATTTGTACATAACATGTGAACTTATACGTGGGATTTAAAACGTAGGTAGTATTAATATTACTCGAACTTTATATTACCTTTTTTTTTTTAGTTGATACGTTTTTGACTTTATCACTATTTCACACAATCTCCTTCCTCTTTGATCGTGTTTTGTGGTTTATACATAATGAAAAATATAGTTATGTGGGATTTTGTTAGATTCGTCATGATATATATTTTCAGACTTTCAAATTTTCATAATTTTTACTTATCGGTAATCAAAGATATGAATGGTTGAAGTTGTGAATTGACAAACGTGACTAAAAAAAGTGTCAACTAAAAAGAAACGTGGAAAGTATATTTTTAATTAAACATTAGAGAGGATTTTCTAAATTCAAAGAGAAAACATAGTCATATAAGGTATTGTTTAATTTGTCTCACTCAATACTTGATTAATATTCTTTTTTCAAAAAAATAATTACTAGTGAGTACTGAGTAGCTCAAGCGTTGTCCCAGGTTACTACTTTTTTCGTTGTGCAACTGTTAATTTTAAGAGCAATAATTGTTTGTATGTAGTATGTATCTTCAATACTTATGTAGTATTATATTAGTTTGTGTCAAGGTTAGAACAAGATTGACAATTAGCTTAGATGGTGAAACAATAAATTTTTTTTTCTAAGAGGTCAAGTATTGATCTTTTTCATCTATGGAGGAATACTTGAGTGGATGATGTGGCATAATTAATGAGGAGTTGAGTAACGTGGCATGGCGTAATGAGAGGGTTTGGTGGTGTATAGATTAGTTCTAAGGAACGTCTTTTAATAGATTAGTAAGGAGTACGGAGTATAAATTACTAAAATAAAATAAAAGATATTTACGACTAATAATTTGTATCAATAAACGTAAATAGGAACAACAAATAGAAGAGGAATCATCTAAAATATGCTTGTGAAATTGTCATTTGAAAAAACAATCCTTGTTTTGTTTGAAATTGTGTGAAATAACTTATTGATTGGAGTTTTTTATGTTTAAATACTCCTTATGTTTTTATATTATTATCTTACTACGTATTTGCTTATAGCAAATTTTTTAATGTAATATTGTATTCGTTATAAAAAGCGAATTTAATAGTTAAAAAAGTTAAATAAAAGCATTTTCTTAATTATATTTGGTTTTTAGCAATGAATGATTGAATGAATGTGCTTTGATTTGCTGATAAGAGGATGAATTCATCGCCCAAATAATGGAAGTCAACTTCGGCTCATAAGCCGATATCTGCCACATAAACAAAATGCTCTATCCTTTTCCTTCATTTTCATACTCCTTCCATTTCTAAAATTTATTATATTTTGATCTTTTAATATTTGTGAGGTAATTAATGTCTAAAGTCTAAACATACTGAAATTTTAGAAACAAATGAAATAGTAGTAGTACTGTAGATCCTTGTCATTTTTCAAAGTGGAAAATTGAATATTATTGACCTGTCAATTCAGGTCAACGGGTTGGGTTTGAGACAAATTTCGGGGTTGTTTGGGTCGTTTGGTTCGAGTGGTTGGGTTATTACAAATTATAATAAATGGATCAAATCGGGTCTATTTCGAGTCATTTGGGTCGGGTTTGGGTTCTCTCTCAGTAAAAAAAAGGGGGGTTGAAATCGGGTCGGGTTAAAAATTGACATGTCTAACTATTACGTATGGAGTAAAGATAAAAAGAACTACATAAGTAATAATTGTGTGATATATATTTTTAGAAATAGGCACAGCATTTTGGGACACCAAAAAAGAAATAGAGGCTTGTAATTAAGGGACGGATCGGAAGGAGTAATTAAAAACCAAACTAATGAAATAAATTACACATCTCACATTATATTTTTGTTTAACTAATGGACATTATTAAGAGTTGTAAATATTCAATTAGGTTGATCTCAACCCCTCCAAATGAGGCTAGCTAGATACCTACCATACTATTTTCACAAAGTATCATGTACTTCCTATAATTGTTGTTAAAATTAAAAAATCATTTATTTACACAGTATAAAATCAATTGAATATGTTTTCAGATCTTTCCTATATATAGGAAGTGGGGATGAACCTAAGCTAGTAACAAATGGAGCTAGCTAGTAAGGCTACCTACGCTTCCCTCAACGAGTAAAAATCGTGCAAAATGAAGGCCTGTTGACTTAGGTCAAGTCTTTTACTTACCCAAATGGAAGCATCATAGCATATGAGATTATTATGAGCTACAAGATTCACATAACCCCTAGTTAGCTTTAGGGCCTGTTCTCATTGACTGAACTGAACTAAAATGAAATGAAATGAATATTTTATAAGAGAAGGAGATTAGAAGTTGAACTGAACTGAGCTGAACTGAACTGAACTGAACTGAATTTCAACGTATGAGAACAGGCCTAGTATTATAATTTTGTAGGGTTGATTACGCTAATACAACACGATCATATATTAATAAAATATTTGGTTATAACATCATTGATGGAGTATATAGGTTTTGATTGAGTTGATCCGTTAACAAACACCAATATTATACATAAGGAGGTACATGTACTGATGATGTACACAACATCACAAATTATTGCTACAGAATGAACCCTTGATCGAAGTTTTTGTTGTTGTATCCACAATTGTTTGTGTTGTGTGCTATGCATAGTTGGTGATGTTATGGTCCTTTTTTTTTGGGCAATTGTTTGTCTTTTAATTTTATAGAGTTATTGAGGTTTGTATTTTACATTTTAATCAGTAGAGATGTGAAACATAATACTACCTCTGTTAAAAATTAGTTGTAACTTTGGAGTATTATTTATAAGACATAAAATATTCTAAAGTTGCAACTAATATTTAACGAAGGTAATAAAAAAAACACTAGTGAGAGTTTAACTTATTATTAACATTCATTTTGATACAAATCTAACAATTGTAGGTTAATTTTGTATCAATCCAATTTTTATTTTACTTTTATTTTTATATACTTTTTTTTTTAATTTGTATAAAGCTCAAATTTGACATTTAAAAATGAAATTATTACAAATGAAATTAAACGGAAAAGGACAGTACACATTGCTTTGTTTGATTATAATTAAAGTCCCTAAGGAGGCAGTCATGCAAGAAACACTAAACAAATTGATTGAATAAAATTATTAAATCATAAGTCTCTTTTTATGTTAGGTCAAAACTAAGGTCCCTATCAACGATCTATTACCATTATTATAGAATTTCGTTTTCCTGGAAAGAGCTATGTTTAAAGATTTAAAATCAATCAAAGATACCCTCCAACTTAATCCTTAATTAAAAGAGAAAAAAAAACTGGAATAATACAGATTAACGGTACAGGTTAATGATAAATGACGGTAATAATAATGAGTTTTGGTCAAGTATAATGATAAAACTAAATTATATTTCTAACTTCATGCAATACTTGCAACTTTTCAAGATCGAACGATGGAATTGCATGTATGACTAAGAGCATTAAAGTGAGACTACTATATTATCTAATAATAAAATTTGGGGTTTTTTTTGTCATAAACTACCTAATACATTCTAAAAGTTGTGAGAAACTACCTAATAAAAAAAATGTTGTAAGAAACTACCTTATAAAAGGTAAAATGTTGTAATGTACTATCTTTGACCGAATTTCCACCGTTAATCTAATTTAAAGGCGTTGACCTAGCTCAAACACCCCAGAAACCACCACAAAGGTTGCTTTTTAAGGCGGTAAGGTTTTTGGGGGTGGTTAAAAGATGTTCCGACTAGGTGAGGGTAGTTTAATTTCGTGATTAGGGATGTTGATTTTTGGGGTTAGAGGTGGTGGTTTTAGGATTGGAGGGTAGTTTCGGCTTGGTGAAGGCAATTTCAAATAGGTTGTGTTTGTTTTGGGGTGAAAGCGGTGGTTTGGGGGTGTTTTGAGGTGGGTCAATGGTGGATTTCCGGCAGAGGTAGTACTTTACAACAATTAACATTTTACCTATTATTAGGTAGTTTTTTACAATATTTTTTTTATTAGATAGTTTCTTACAAATCTTATCTTTATTAGATAGTTTTTGACAAAAAGTCCTAAAATTTGATACAAACCTACAATAATTTAAAACGAACATGATGTAAATTAAGTCGTTGTATGTATCATCACTATGGTAAAAATAAAAACTCCATAAATTATATAGCTCATTGATATGAGCAACTAGGGACAGTTGTAAATAGAATCTCTACAAATAAAAATCTTGCTTAGCTTTATGTAATGCCCCCCAAGAAAAAACAAATAAAAGTCAAGTAGTGATTTGAAGTCACAAATTGTTTACATATAGTTCAAAATATATTAATTCATATAGATGCATTGTACTTCAAGATAAAATATAATTAGATGTAGTATCTTCTGTAACTTAATTATAATATACTTTTATTATGTGATGATTAGGGTTACTATTGAAGACTATAAATATAGACACAAAAAGAGAAGACTTTTCATAAGAATGAGAAAGATTATCAGTTCAAAAGATATGAAAAGAAAGAGAGAAATTATGGCAAAAGAAACTGAGATTAAGTCTTTTATTCAAGAGCTTTCTTTGCTCACAAAAATTATCAACAATGATAATAACATTGATTGTTCGAACTCTTCATCTGTTGATCATGCTGCTGTTTCCGAAGAACAACAACGTCGTGTTATTTCCTACATACCCACGAGCTCGTTTCTATCTCTTTGTACCTTAATCGTTCAAGTTCTAGGTAACCTCTCTCGCTTTTCTCTTTTATATCGTTTTCAGTCTTTAGATAAATCACTCTGTACCCACGCACTATCTAGAACCTACCAGACTCTCGACTAATCCAAGTTTTTAAGTCGGGTTGATGATGTACTAGTAGTTGTTTGTGTGATACTTTTTTAAACAAAATTTAGAAAACGTATTATTGAACATAATCTTTTCGTGATTTGTTATTGAACATTTTGTTGATCATTATTACATGAATCATGCAAGTAGTAATTGTCGTTTTGCATTAATACTTAATTATTGACTAATTGTTTCCAATTTGGTATCGATCCAGATATTCTTAGGATTTTTTCTTTATTTGGATAGATCTGAAATTTCCATTATAGTGTCCATCAATAAGTTCTTTTAAGCATTGATATATGATTGACCAAATATTTGTAGAATGTCAATGATTTTTTGTTGGAAAATAATTTTGTTTTAATTAATATTAAAAAAGTTGAATTGACAAAGTTTTGTGGGGGATGGTGTGCAATAATTTATGGTTAGATTGGATGACATTTTTCATGTTTTAGAGTGATTTATTCATATTTATTAGGTGGGAATTTTTTTTTTCAAAGTATTATCTTACAATTAATTACTGTGACATTAAATCAACTAAACCTAACAAAATAGGATTTTTTTTTTTTTTTTTTTTTTTGGGTTCATCAAAATTACGGGTATCAATTTCTGTAGTCTAACAATTTATGCTCTTAAATTATTCATCAACTTAATTTGTTAGTGTTATCTAAGGATATTGTACATATAATTACTTACAACGAATATACAAGCCAACCATGTTGAGAAAGAAATAAATCGAAAAAATAGGACATTAATAAAGGATAATCTTTCTTTTTAATACTAAAATAGTTTGTAATATAGGGAAAATTGCTTCATTCAAGTCTTTCTTATGCTAAATGTCGTATGTTTAATGTTTTATGTAATTATGTGTAGTTTTGAACGTATCATATATTAGTAAGGAGTATAGTTTATCATGTTATATAACATTTGTGGGTATTTACCAAGAAAATATTACATCACATTGGTTTTTCATGCATATTGTACGTATTGCTTCCATTTTATGTAAATTTTTACAATTTTTCTTTGATAAATAAATATCTACAATCATATGGAAGCACTTGTATTACGTTTATATAGTACATAGTTCCAATCTATCTACGTTTTATTTAAATTTGATTATCATTTTCCGTCATTTATCATTGTGAAAATTAAAAAAGGAAATCAACCGTAGTCTGATATTATTATTATCACACTATATGTGGAGTTAATATTGTTTGTATAATTAATTTCTATGCAGATAAGATAGGGCCGACGATGGTTGTGCTGAAGCAAGACATTTCTAAGAACATTCAGGTAATTAATTACTACTCCATTATTAGCTAAAATAATTTTCTTTGTTTAATTAAATAAAGTTGTATATCTCGTGGACTGTTCTTCTAAAGTTCATACAATCAAGATAAGACCCAAGAACAATAGAATTAAATTTGTAAGTAAAATTTCCTTATTATAGATTCATAGTAATCCTAGTTCATCCCCAAATCTTAAATTCTTCACAAATTCTTGTACCATTTATTTATGCATTACCATTTGATTGATAGTGTTGGGATGTAGGCGTAATACAAGGGACATTGAAAAAAATTTAAAAAAAAAAAAAAAAGGTTTAAAAATGAGATCGATTGTTGTAATTCATTCTCATCATTACGACTTATGATAGGTTACAAAATAGATCGTACATTAAATCTTATAGACTAACCCATGTGAAATAAAATTGAAGTTAAAATTAGAGATCACAGTGTAAGAGTCGCTAATTAATCTCGTCTAATTCGGGATCAATGGATCATGATAATCCTCAAAGTAAGGGAAATGATTTTGACACACCAAAATTGATTTTAACACTCCTCTAAGTGAGAACACAGTTTTCTATACTCTACTCATACAAGGATGTGCCAAAATTAATTTCCTCAAGGTGACCGATAAGATCCTATAAGCTACACCGTAACAAAGACATGCTCCCGCAGTTGGAGCATATATCCTCATGTGCATCAGTGCATGGAATGGATGATGTGATAAATGCCCAAGATACTAGGAAACCAGTTTACACATGTCAACATGTGAATGACTTAATACTGTCGCCTAGACACAAGCTTAAATCATATACTAATTGTGTTATAAGGCCTATAACATATCAATATTACTAGAACCAATACTCATATGCTACAAAACAAGTATCACTATTCATTTTTTTACATAAAAATCTACAGTAATTTAGTCATTGGATACCTATTATGCATAAAATAGATACGTACTTTGTTATATGAAATAATATACTAGTAATTTTTAATTCAAAAAAAAAATTAAATAACATAGTAATTTTTTACGTTTTTATCTACTTGTATATATCATGTATAAACCATAATTACACATTATTTTAAGGAAAATAATATAGATAAAATAATTTTTAAAAATATTGGTGATGATGTGATAAGTTTGTCTTCTTATCTGTGTTCAATTAGGGGTCTGTTGTTTTCATTGACTAAAATCAGCTGAACTGAATTGAACTGAACTGAACTGAACTGAGTTGAGCTGAACTGAAATAAATATTTTAAAAGAGAAGGAAATTAGGAGTTGAACTGAACTGAACTGAATTTTCAACGTATTAGAACAGACCCTTATTTCTAATTATTAATTTGTTCATTTACCTTTTTTAATATCTTTCTTAAAGTTTTGCTATTCAAAAAAAATATCTTTCTTAAAGTAGAGTTGATAACAGGCTATAATTCATATAGTACGTAGTAGTACATAAACGATAAGATCAAGGAGACAAAGCATCATCATAACATGTTTAATAATTCTTTGGAATCCGCTAAACTTTTTTGGTCATAGAATTACAAGATAATATAGTTAGTTGGTGAAAATGACTTTATGAAAATATCATATCTTTCATCATTTATAAAATTTGATCATTTGAGTATGGATCAAAATTAACCTAATAAGATTGTAAAACTAGCCGTAGATTCATTATTTCTTTTTCTATTATTTTTGTATTTAAACTTAATATCATATATGAAATTTTTTTGGAGAAGATTTCAATGAGTAAGATTAATCTATATCCCACTTATCTTTGAGGGTTAAGGCATGCGATTAATATTAATCAAAATTATTAATTACTCATCTACAGTAATTTGTTGACTAATACTGTATGACCATGTGAACAAGAGATATATAATTGTCATTAATTATTTATATATCTAGTTTAAGTAACATTTCTAACATGATGAAAAGAAGCTATTTCCTCTCATAATTCTTGGGAATTAGATTTAGACTTTAATGCATGTTTAGATTGGTAAAGAAAATTAAAAGTTACCTGGGCTAGAACCCTAGCTAGTTACGAATCAACTCGACATGTGTTAGCAAGGTAGACCTTTTAGGAGGAGTCGTCCAAATTTTAAATGATAAGATTGCGCAAAATTAGGACTAAGGATTTTGACCTTATATTTTTATCAATATAGGTGCTCTAATATGATAATAGTTTTTGAAGGGAAAAAATTGAATAATTTATATGTTCTTTTCAAACTACATACATGTCTAACAATTACAAACATTTTATTTATATGACGATTAAACATGTTATATACTTATATGTTAGACTTTCTCTAGTATATACTATGTAAGTAGTGATTATTGATTCGTAGTTAATATATTTAAACCATCCTATATATGTCATTCATGATGATCCATGACAACAGAGATTGGAGATGCTTTGTGATTCTGACCCGGCAACATATTCGAATTTGATAGAGATATTAAACAAAGAAGCAGTTGAACGAAATGCCAAAAAGAGTAATAGTTGTAGCAAAGCTTTGCTTTGGCTCACCAGGTATTTTATTACTACTCTATAATCCATATCCCCATTCATCATCATATAAGACATAATATTACACTATATCGTATTTTAAAAACATAAATTTAAGAAAAGAATATTCTGCGTATATTTTCAATCACTGAAACTTTGATTACATCATCATATTTGCCCTTTGTAATAACAGTCTTCTAAAAAGAATATGTTGTCATAATAGTTTGCTAATATATATGAGCGTTACATAAACATGTGTGTTTAAATGCACTAATACCTACCCATTCATCCACACATAGATTATTTAATTAATTATTGTATAATTAAGTATTCTTGAAGATTCCTATTGTTTTGATGGATGACGATCAAACAGTAGAATTCCTTCATTACTTAAACATCACACAGTACAAATCATTTAATTAATAAATACTCCGTAATTTAATTAGTACAAGTTGTTTGATCAATTCATATAATCAAACAAAATATATAGATTTAAGCAATTTTATCTTACATACTTATATCAAATTACAATTATTTGCATTATAATTTGCCCTATTAGTTAATCCTTTCTATTCACACACAATAACATGGTTTTTATATTACTTATTTTTGCTTGAACTTATAGAGATAGCTAATTTATTTTTATATACTACATACAAATTAAAGAAACTAATTAATATCGTAATGATATGATTAATTTAATTAGGTCCTTGGACTTCATGGGCTCACTACTTCAACATATTACAATCGAACCAAGGGAAAATATGGAACAAATTGTTGGAAACTCTTATGAGATGACCTTGAAACCTTGGCATGGATGGATTTCAGCAACTGCTTATAAAGTAATTCCTTCTTTAACTTACTAATAATTATCTAAGGTCTCATCAACGATCTCTTTATTTTGTTACCATTTAGCAAATCTTTTTTTGTTACTCATACGTAGCTTACCAAATAAAAACTACTATTTGCGTTACTTTTTAGTTGCAGCAAAGAAATCTTTTATGTCTCACAAATACATATGATATGGTGGGTGATACAGGTAGCTTTGAAACTTCTACCTGATACAAATACATTTATAAGCCTACTTATGGCCAAAGGTGAAAACTTTGACACTCTTAGAGATGAAATCCAAACTTTAGTTTCATTACTCGTGCCTCTCCTACAACAACTCCATTCCACTCTTGTAAGTTCTCACTCTAATTAATTCTACAAACCTCCTCTATATACATAAAATAATCTTTCGTTCAAAATTTATTATCAAATGTACTGTGTAATTTGATCTACTAATATGACATTTGAGTTCGTGAGGATAAATTAAACATAGTACGATTGTTAGATCATATTCTTAACCTCTTTCTAATTTTATGCATGCTTTATCCAGGACTTATATGGACTAGACAGGCTAAAGTCTACCTAAGGAAATTTATCAATCGATTCGACAAGCAAATTAAAGAAGTAGAATTTACGTACTCATGTACATATTTACCAAAGTTGTTTAGAGATCTTTTCTACATCCTAATATCCTGAGATGTATCTTTCAATTCGTTAGTTGCTAAATTAGAAATAGTGTGTGTTTGAGAGGTTATGTAGGTCGGTACGATTCTACATTTTATTTGTGTAGATCGTACTCCATGTTAGGGAAAATTCAAGTTCTTTTTTTTGGTTTTAAAGTTGTCATTGTTAATGTTTATCTCATATATATACCATTTGTTAATGGGGTTTTTGAATCCTACAATGTGTGGGATTTTTATGTTTGTTTGATGAGATGTATGTCATATGAGACTACGAGTATAAAATCTGTGTGACCATTGTATGTTGTTTCTAGATTGTTGTATATAAAATATATTGTGGTTGTCTATCTTGTCACTTTTCAGGACAAACTTTTAGAGACGGCCAAATTAGTTCTAATGAGTTTCAAACTTTCGGGTCCCAAGTTATTGTGAATGCTTGATCACTTGAAAAACTAATGTTTTATTTTGTCAAATGTCTCTATCCAGATCTAGTTGGGTCAAGTTAGGCCCAAGACCATTGTAAATAATAAATGAAGTTATTGGGCAACAATTCAACAACTTACCCACATAAATTAAATTAGGGCTGATTAGACCACAATTACTAAAAATAGAGTCCGACATTGTTGAGTCTTGAAAATAAATTTGACACCAAACTTGTCCTTGCAAAATTCATAAAAATAATGTCAGATAAGGTATTTTGCGTATCCAATTTTACAATTATCAAATAGTTATTGGTAAAACATTACTCTCTCGTATCAACAACAAAATAGTAAGGACATGTTCTCATACGTTTATTTTCAGTTCAGTTCAGTTCAACTCCTAATTTCTTTCACTAATAAAATATTCATTTCAGTTCAGTCTATGAGAACAGCCGAATTAAACAGGCCCTAAAACAAGTTAATTTTTGAAATAAGAGAAATAATTGGAGGATTGAGAAATAAGAGAATCAGATAAAATGGTCAATCACCACATTTGCATCATTAGATGCATGTAAGACTGGGGCGACATTCAAATATCATCATTTCATTCATTTGAATAGTAATACTGATTATCATTAATTTTCATTTAAACAATACTCTTTATTTGTTGATTAAACTACACTATTAATTTTAAATTTAAGAAAAATAGATTTAAAAATGATAGAAATTTGAGAAAAAAGAGCTCAGAGATAAAATGGGTAATAGAGAGTTATCAGCACGGGTAATCAGAGTGGTGCATGACATTCTTAATTCTCATCATAGCTTCGTTTTTTACGAGTATTTGATTTAGAATGACAAAAACAGATAATTTTATGGACTCGTTTAAAATTATCATAAACTAATCAAGACAAACGGACAAAGCTCAGCTCGAGAAACTCATGAAGATGTTAATCTTTTTAATTACATTGTAATTTTCCAAGATATAAGAGCTTCGAGTTAATCGTAATTTCTAGCATACTCCTGGAGTACCGTGCAGGTTTTATAAAACTCAGGTTATTTTGATATTAACTCTTTGTTACTTTAAAGAAATTATATACTGTATATGTTTTTTTTAAATACATGTATATTATTTTGTCATTTTTCTCATTATTATCTTCCTCACACAGCCACTCTCTCAAATGGGCCGAAATGAATAGTCCAAGTTCAACAACTGGGCCGATAACTCAACAACTGGGCCAAATAGTCCAAGTTCATAAAATTCTCAACTGGGCCGAAATGAATATAGAACCCTACTTATTTTATACCATCTGAGATCACACATTATCAACCAGAAATTCACAAAAAAAAAAAAAAAAGATTTATTAACAATTTCATAACAAGAACAATATTTGAGAAAAAACAAAAGAAGATTAAAAAATAAAATAATCAGATAAAAGGTCAATCACCACAAATAGCATCTATAAGATGCTTGTAAGACTGGGGCGACATACAAATATCATCATTTTCATTAAATTTCAACTAATTAAAACTCCTTAATTATTAAATACTAATCTTAAATTAAAATTAAGACTCGGTAATTAAAAAGAAAATGGATTTTAAAAAAGGAAAAAAGGAAGCCATCAGAGACCAAAAATTTATCCACAAAAGCTGAATGCTTAATACGGTCCGCATCATGGTTCGATCCTTAGGATCGCATCATTTGAACTCCCATCAATATTAATAATAAAATTAATTTCAAAATAAATCCAATAATTTAAAAAAAATAATAATAAAATTGAAGAAGATGAAAGAAAAAGAGCTCAGAAAAAAAATGGGTAATAGAAAGTTATCAGCACGGATAATCAGAGTGGTGCATGACAATCTTAATTCTCATCATAGCTCCAGGATTTATTCAATCAAATTTCATCATAATAAATAAAAAAGAGACCAAAAATGAAATATACTCGTAGAAATGAACGAGGAAGAGAGAGAAAGTGATTTGTGAGGAAGAGAGAGAAGGGTGGTTGGATTATAAATGGGGATCATCTTTTCATCTTTAAACCCTAATTTTTTTCTGCCGTTCGATTTCCAAGGTTTTAGATCCTCTATTTTGGGCCTATTTTTCTTTTTTAACCGAAGATTGTTGTACAGCCCAGTAATATGGATTATGGACACTACCCTCTTTTTTTTTTTTTTTTTTTTTTTTTTTTGTAAGGAGATTAGGGGTGTAAATGAACCAAGCCGATCAATAAACTACTCGTGTTCAGGCTTAGTTGAAGCTCATTCATGTACGTTTATTTATTAAATGAGCCGAGCTTGAGTAAATTTTGAAGCTCGTTTAATAAATGTACTTGAACACAAACATAATATATGTTTGTTCAGATAAGTTCATTAACAACTCGTTTATTTTTATTCATGAACTACTCGTTTATTTATGTTCATGAATTATTTATTTATTTACAATTGTTAATTTGGTTTTTAAATTTATAATTAAGATTCAATTATTATGCTAATTTTGATAATTTCAAATATCAAAAAGTACAAAGCTCATTTATTGGAGAAGCTCGTTTATTATTAAGTTAGTTCATGAAAGGCCCGTTAAATAAACGAGTTGTTCATGAACCGTTCATGAACCTATAGTGTGCTAAATGAGCTGAGCTTGAAAAGAAATTTGAGCTCGCTTGAAAGCTCGGGATCGTGCTCGAACTCGCCTAAGTTAAATGAACTTGAACAAGCTAATACTCGGCTCGGGTCGGCTCATTTACACCCCTAAAGGAGATGCAATTATGCGATGACATTGACAAATACTCCCTCCGTTATTCCATATTGTATATACTCTCTCCGTTACGAATTACTTGATATGTCTATTTTATATAGTATTTTACCCCCGTCCCTTGGTCATAATTAGTAGTGTTTTTGGCTCTTTAGAGCCACTTTTATTACTAATTGGTGTTTTCTAGTGTTTTCGTAGATTTGGTTGACTTTTGCAGGGATTTATACTTTTGGAGTATTTTCCCGAGATATTTTGGAGCAATCACGAACATTGGAGAAGCACGACCAGATTTTATAGCCCAGGGCCGATTAGAGCCATCGAACCGGTGATTAAGGGCTTGGTATAGGTGATACCAGGACATTTGGACCGAGTATTCAAGACCGGAAGAGGAAACCCAGATTTGCCCGAAGAATTGGGGCCCAATCGTAGTCCAAATAGTGGCCCAAGAGAGCCGCCCAGCCAAAGAGGCTGGCGCCTGGAGGCGCGCCCGATCGGGCGGTGCCTCGCCCGATCGGGCGCGTGTATTTATTAGGAGACGATTAACGTCGTTTTAGTTTGTTTTAATTTAGGATTTGTACGGAGTATAAATACTCCTCCGTAATACAATTTTAGCGGGCTCTCTCTCTCTCTTTTTTTTTTTTACTCTTTCTTTACTCTCTTAATTGTTTTCTTAGATTCTCTCCCTCTAAAACCTTTGTTCTTAATCCATTCTTAATTCCAGATTTGTTTGGTAACTATTTCTCTTCTCTTAATCTTAGTTATTTATTCTATTCCTTTAATTATGTCTTACTTTATTGCTTTGATTAGTTTAGTTTCTATTATGTGTGAGTAGTTCTATTTCTAGGGTTTATGGGGATCCATAAATAATATGAAAGGGTAATTTATTGTTGTTAATTATCAATGCTAGATTAATTTCCTATTGATTGATTTAATACTCTGTGACTAGATTAGGCCTGATCTTTTATGCATGAGTTTGACAATATTGATTCGAGATTCGACAGATGAGAATTGATGTTTAGGTCTAGTTTCAATAGGCAGATTAATTTATAAATGGTTAAGTCGAGATTCGAGAGATGAGATTTAATAACGGAAGATTAATTATGTGATTGTAATATGTAGCGAAAGCCCTTTACGATCTGGTTAATTGATGCATTGATGAATGACTATTATTGATTTTTGATATTGCATGATAATTTCTTATTGAATTGTTTTAACGCTTTACAATTATGGCTTGTAAAAGTATAACAATATTGAATTGATGAATCGAGCAGATGTTAAGGCTATTTTCAATAGGAACTTAGATCTAGTAAATTTCGAGAGCCTGTTAGATCTATGTTGATTAATAAATGGCGAGAGCCTATTAATCATGTTATTTATGCAATGTCAATGATTGATTATTATGTTTTACCCTGGAGTATTATTTATTGGTGAACCTATGCCCTAGATCCTTTTATATATTATTTTCTCCCTATTCTTGATCTCCGTAGTTTAGTTTATTATTTAAATATAAATATTGGCTACTTCATAATCTAGATTGTATTAGTTAATTAGGAATAAAAAGACTTGTTTCCCTGTGGAGTTCGACCCTACTTCCCTATCTACTTTAGTTAGAGGACTTAGGTATTTACTTTTGATTAGGGGATACGACTTTACCCTGTCAAAATTTGGCGCCGTTGCCAGGGAAACGGTTTTATTTTTATTTCTGATTATTTTTGTAGTCTAGGTTATTTTGTTTTTGTCTCAGAGAACATTAGTTCTCTGAGGCAAATCTCATATTTGCTTCTAGTTTTTTGTTTATGCCCAGGTGTTCCAGATCAGGGTACATCCCATTCGATCTTGAGATCTAACGTTCCTTCCATGGACAGAAAAATCTCTACAAGCAAATCTTGGCGGATTCTGGTGATAATAACAATAATCACCGCGATCGTCCGACTGGTTCTAGCGATTCAGAGGTATCATCAGACGCAGAATCGGAGATGACGGATCCAAAGAAGCTTAGTGATTACTCACAACTAAAGCTTACATATTTTCCACATCTCACCCCCACTCCGGCTCTTGATGGGGTTCAATTTGAAATTAAACCTCAATTTATAACGATGATAGAGAGGAAACAATTCAGTGGAGCTAAGGGTGAAGACCCGAATCTTCACATTGCCGACTATTGTCAATATTGCAA